AGGGGGGCGGTGGAGGGGGAGGTGCTGATCTCCTCTCTCTGATGACCAGCGATAGGACACGAGGAAATGGAATGAAACTGTGTCAGGGGAAGTTCAGGTTGGACATTAGGAAAAGGTTCTTCACTGAGAGAGTGGTTGGTCACTGGAACAGGCTCCCCAGGGAAGCAGTCACAGCACCAAGACTGTCCGAGTTCAAGGAGCGTCTGGATGATGCTCTTAGTCATATGGTTTAGTTTTAGGTAGTTCTGCGAGGAGCAGGGAGTTGGACTGAATGATCCTTATGGGTCCCTTCCAACTTGAGAGATTCTTAGAATCATAGAATTGTTTAGTTTGGAAAAGTCTCTTAAGATCATTGAGTCCAACTGCAAACCTAACACTGCCAAGTCCACCACTAAACCATGTCCCTAAGCGTCACATCTACACGTCTTTTAAATACCTCCAGGGATGGTGACTCAACCACTTCCCTGGGCAGCCTGTTCCAATGCTTGACAACCCTAGAATCATAGAATTGTTTAGTTTGGAAAAGTCTCTTAAGATCATTGAGTCCAACTGCAAACCTAACACTGCCAAGTCCACCACTAAACCATGTCCCTAAGCGTCACATCTACACGTCTTTTAAATACCTCCAGGGATGGTGACTCAACCACTTCCCTGGGCAGCCTGTTCCAATGCTTGACAACCCTTTGTGCCTAAAATGACACATCGCAGTACACCATCCCCACATCAAACAAAATAATCTCTCACATTTCTTCCATCCCTCTCTCCTGCTAGCCCAGAATGACACGTGCCTTTTTCCTCCCCCAACAGCTTATTATCGCCTTGCATTTAATGGTCTCTACCGTAACTTCTCCACTCCCACTGTACTGCTGCTCTGCCAGCTCTTTCCCCATTTTGTACTTGAATGTCTGATATCTCCTTCTAACTGCAGCACTTTGCACTCACCTTTATCAAATTTCTTCTTGTTATTTCAGGCCATTTTTCCTGCGTATTACGGCCATTTCAAATTCTGATACAGCCCTGGAAAGTGCCTGCATGTATTCTCAAGTCAGTGACAACCACAGATTTTTATACGGGCTATTTATTTCACCGCTCCAGTCATTAATGAAGTTATGGAAAAATACAGGCCCTACAATAAAATTTGTAGTGGTCTCACTCAAAATACCCTCTCTGGCTACATACCAATAACTATTCCAAGTGCAATTTTTCTGCTACGTTGTGATAATTCAGCTTGTTTCCTTCTTTCGCTTGTAAAAAGGATATAGTGAGGCAAAGAAAACATTAAATGCATCAATTTTCTCTGAATCATCCATCGTTTTTTCTCCATCCCCTCATCTTTTCACACTTAATCATGTGCCTTTCCTTCCAATTTCTGCAGTTCCATTTTGACTGATCCTTACAAGTCCTCCCTATGCCATTTTTCCATCACATCAGGAGATTGCTGCTGGGCCATTAAAAAAAGCCTCTCTCTTCAGTTATCCCACCCATCATCTCCTAAACGGACCCAGGCACCAACACCCACACTTACCGAAACTGCCTTCTGAGGTCCTTATTCTGCTCCTCTCATCTCCCTGCTTTCTCACGTGCACCAAATGCCAACTCCACAGCCACTTGCACCTGAATTACCTCTGACTTTAAGATTTTTAACCACTTCTAATAAACCTGACTATAATCCTGAACAGCCAACTCCAGAATAACATCATGTACCTTCTGAGATACAAACTCTGTCCTCTGGAAAAAAAAAACATTAACTCTTTGCCTTTTCAAGTCTTCCCCTGTTACTTTCCAAAGAGATACACAAGTAGCAAATACCTCCCATTTCCATCAGACTTCATAATTTGGGGGTACTGGTGGATGAATAATTGGACATAATCCAGCAATTATGCACTCGCAGCCCAGAAGGCCAATCGTATCCTGGGCTGCATCACAAGCAGCGTGGCCAGCAGGTCGAGGGAGGTGATTCTGCCCCTCTACTCTGCTCTGGTGAGACCCCCCCTGCAGTACTGCGTCCAGCTCTGGAGCCCTCGGCATAAGAAAGACACGGACCTGTTGGAGCGGGTCCAGAAGAGGACAACAAAAATGATCAGGGGGATGGAACACCTCTGCTATGAAGAAAGGCTGAGAGAGTTGGGGTTGTTCAGCCTAGAGAAGAGAAGGCTTTGGGGAGACCTTATTGCAGCCTATCAGTACTTAAAGGGGGCTTATAAAAAAAGATGGCGGCAAACTTTTTAGCAGGACCTGTAGTGACAGGACAAGGGGCAGCAGTTTTAAACTGAAAGAGGGTCAGTTATATTGACATTAAAGAAGAAATTTTTCGTGATAAAGTTGGTGAGACACGAGAACAGGTTCCCCAGAGAAGTTGTGGATGCCCCATCATTGGAAGTGTTCAAAGCCAGGTTGGACGGGGCTCTGATATACCTGGTCTAGTGGAAGGTGTCCCTGCCCATGGCAGGGGGCTTGGACTAGATGGTTTTTAAAGGTCTCTTTCAACCCAAACCATTCAATGATTCCCAAGCTTTGGAAATACAGACACTGTTCACGTTCAGCATCATGCCTCCAGCCCTACCCGAACCACAGGTCTCTCTGTTCCAGTGCTGCAGTTTATCTCCCAAAGTCTCTGCAACGCCCATCAACCATTTTTGACATATATTGACATCGAGTTCCTCCTGTGTATTCCTCATACTGGTGTACAGACATTTTACCTTAACATGCTGCTTCATTCTCTCTCCTGCCTCTTACAGTCCCAGCTCCGATGAATAATTCATTTACATCAATGAAGTGCAGCAGTCTGTCAGGACATAGAGTTTCACAGAAGAAGCTAAGACAGAACCCAAAATTTCAAACCCATCCACCATCTGGATTTGAGCCCTAGACTAGAAATAACAAGTATTGATTGCTTTCTTTCTCTTGGCTAAAAATGTTGTTCAGGAGTCACAAATCTCTCCTGAAAGTTTGTTTGTAACTAGCATGCTTCCATGGAGAAAGGTTCCGAGAAGTCAGCATTTTTGACCGACCAGCCAAGCAACCTTTCCCTACAACTTGCCAGAACACATAATTGGAAGGAGCCTGATCAGCTATTAAGAGGACGTGAGAGCAGTCAAAACACTCTCGGTACCCAGGGAGTACATTGCTACAATAGTTCGCACAAAGAAATATAGCGGGGGTCGTTCTCCCCTCCCCCAGGAAAAAAAAAAAACAACCAACCACTCTTACTGCAGCGCTGATGTCTTTATTACTATAAAAATCTATAATCACACATTACTGCTTAAGAACTCCATACCTTTGAGACAGCTTCAGGTCTGCACAAAATACCGCAGTTATGGCAACAAGTCTTATTTTAATTCTATATAATTTCAGGTTGACCACAAGTTGGAGACTTTCTCTTTACAGAGATCATCAAATTCAAACAGAAATAAAGACACCTAATTCAACATCCGGGCAAACTTTTGTTAAGACAGATTTATTGAGCCTCTAAATATCAGCATTACCAAGTATCCATGATGAATCAAAAGCACTATGGTCTGTTTCTGTGTTACACTTTAAGGCCCATCTTCTCTTAGCCAAAGATACGTATTTTAGTTCAGTACTAGTTCTTGAAGTGATAGACTTGCTATCCAAACACAACCTGAATTGTATAACCTTGGCTTCTAACGTTGAAATTATTGACCAGTTGCCAAGGTGATTTGCCTATTTATGCTCACTGACAGATACCCCATGGTCTTCTCCAGCTATTCGACACTTCAGATTTGGGACAGTTTGTGAAAGCTAAACTAAGTTGTGCACAGAGGTACCAGAAGTATTTTTACACAGGTTTGTGCCACGCTATTACCCATCTCCACGCCTCCACTGATCTATTTTGGAACCCTTTCATCCAGCAACACTCTCTTGATAGCCTGAAACCATGACAGTTTAGTCTAATGGTCTATATTGCTTAAATGGGCATCTGAACTGCATCTCACCGAGTACCTTTTTTCCAGCCAGCACTGCATCCGGGACATCAGCAACAGGAGAGCGCATAAGAATGAGACACGTGAAACTTCTATGCAGTTGGGATTTTTACAAGCCATACTCTGTGACCAGAATCCAACAAGTGGTATTCATTTTACTGAGACTCAGAGCTGGCTACTGTTCCCCTACTTTTAGGGTTTTTTTCAGGTATTATAGAGCACCACTCAAAAAAAATCTCTAAGAGGGAAGGGAAAAAGTGGAGAGAGAGGTTTTGAAATTCACACCAGTTATTATCCATGCTGCTGCTTATTTTAATCTTAACATTCACCCACATATTGGATTGGTGGGTCAGGAAAGATGAGGACAACACTGGAAAAAGAAGCGTCAAAGGAGTACAAACAGAACAGACAGTCTGCAGCCGAGAAATACAGGAGCATTATTCCAAATCCTGAACTAAGCCGGTACATGTTAATAACCACTACTTATGGGGTTACTGGAATCCTGATCCCCACTATCCATCTGGGAGATTAAATATCGCAAGCATTGGCTGTGAAACAATGAAGACTTTTCTTTGGCACTCCTGGCAGAGCTGCAGTCCAAGAACTGAGCGTCACTACACTCGAGCCATTAGACACAGCCCGATTTCTTCAGAGGATGCAGTTTGGCAAGCATCTGTGTAAAATGATCACATGCTACCGCACTCTAAAACTTCTCATGTTTGCTACCTAGGTGAGATTACAAATATCTGTATACAACGTTTTAAGCGTATAACTTCTATGTCATTAGTCCTTACTCAGCAAATGGTGATCATATCACTGAATCCCATGAACAAGGGCCTGAACGATTGGAATTTTGTATTTTTAAATTTCTGTATGATGGCTAGAGGCAGAAACTGATTTTATGATGACCCAAAATAGAATTAAAAGTGTCATTACTATTCAGTTTAAAACTGATCTGAAGTATTTTTAATGTAGCAACATTAGCTTCCTCACGTCCCCAAGAGGAATACGTTTGTTAATTATCCTTGCAGATCAAAACGTCATATGGGATGAAAATTCTTTTAGAAGAGGAATCTTTAATCTAGCAGACAAAAAAAATTCAACATCTGGTTACCTGAAGTTAGAGAAAGAAGCAAAGTAAATATAAAGCATGTATTTAAATTGTAAGGATATGACATTTTGGGGAATCTGATTACGTAGAACTGATTTTTATAGTGGGGACTCTCCTGTATCAGGACCTGAACATGGTACTAGTATTTTTGCTCTGCTACCTCTTATGGTCTTCATTAAGACTAAGCCCAGAGGAACTAGCATAAGTTCCTGCAACCCTGAAAGTTAGTTATCAGTGTTTGATAGCTTGGCTGAGCCATCCATTAATTCAGATTGGTCATCTGTTAGCAAATCATAGGGGAGAAAAACAAACTTTGAATTCACTTATCACTAGCATATGACTATAAACAGAAGTCTTTGAGTATGTTAAACAGCTGTTGAAACTGATGAGGGACAGAGGGGTAAGCTGTGCCAGAGGGCACTGGGTAGAAGACAGGAGCAGCACAGCATGTTATTACGGTGGTCCTTTAACTAGAGGACCAGCACAGGCCAGCAACAAGCAAAGCCCTTTAGGGAGCCAGGTGCTAGGCCAGTGTTCAATTCCACTGCGATTTGTCCTAGAAGAGCTGAGCTAAAAATGCAGAGCACCCACAGAAGACTGCAGTTCTTGCAAACGTATGAAAGCTGCCAGCAAATGTAAGAGCTCCGCACTGATGACGGTCAGTTCACTTGGGGATGCCATTTTCAGGATAAATAATAAAGTCAAGAAGCAAAGGACTGTTAAAAGGCTACCGCTCCAGCCCACTCACCTAAAGGAACACTCTAGAGTGCACAGGGTCCCATCAAACTGGTCCCAACACCATATATGTTCTGGTGGATATCCAGCACAGAAAGCTGTGATAACGGTAAATTAATTAGTGGAGCCCACAAAAAAGATGCAGGAAACTATCTTACAGCTTTAAACCAAGAATCGGTATTTTTTAAAAACAATACTCCGTAGTTCAGAAGCGTTTATGAATCTGCTGGAAATTCCAGGGCATTATCTGTGTAAAAGAAGTGTGGTTAGATCATCACGATAGTTTAAGTTATGGCTAGAAACTTTAAAAGAAAAAGGAAAGCTTTGTTGACTTTTTACGTTTTGAAGTTCCTACCTGATCTAAATGTCTCTAAAGAGACATCTATACTCAAATAATCCCTCTGGTAAGGGTGAGATAAACTCATCCAAAGTCCTGCAGTACAGCAGGATTAGGTATAGCCCAGCCCTGAGTTAATGATAATCTAATTTGTGTACAAAAAGCTATCGAGAAGGAGATTCCACTTCAAGGGTAGGGCAGATCCTGTACTCTCAGACTGCAGGAGCTTTAATCTGTGATGTTTCATCAATGTATTTGGTAGAACTGGATTCTTAATCTGCATAATCTTTAGCCAGAGTAAGTATTCAAAACTGAAGCTAAATAAGGACAGTAAGTAATAATTTAACATCTAAGCTCAGATTTAACATCTAAGAACAGATTGTAACTGAGTACTGTATCAATTTGACAGCAAAAGCAAGGCAAAGAAACATGAACAGCTTTATATACACACACAAAGTATCACATAACTGGTTCAAAATAGGAACCAATTTCCAGGGGCTATGAGCACCTCCAAATGTCCTTTTGTTTCAGGAGGAATTGTGCACACTGAAGAAATTACTGATGCCATGCGAACACCTACATCCAAGAGTTAGTTGGTTCTTCGTCTGAAACTCTCCTCCACCCACCTCCCAAATAACAGCAATCGGTAACAAGAGCTTCTGTTTCCCCAAATTTAGCCAAGCTTCCTTTTATACAAAAAACATGAAGTATCACCAAATGAATACAGAATTTTAAGAGCTGAAAGAGGAATCATTTTCTTAAGAAACTCAGAGACGTGATACAATAGAAACAGAGACTGAGTCCACACATAAAATTACAGGTTGATGTTATGTTTAACTATTTATATTAAAGCCACAAATGATGTCTAGTGTGTAATCATGTTAAAAAATAAGTTTCAAGAAAGCTTTACTATGAAAGTGAAGTGAAATTTGAAGTTTAACAAATTTCATAGCTTTAGCCACTGTGAAAATATTACTTTACTTGAAATGCATTCAGAATTTCAAATTCCTGAAATGCAAAATTTTCAAACCTTAAGTAGTCTACTATAGCTATAGCTGTTCTCTGAAATGAAGTATTAGCCCTCATAACAAATAAAAAAAAAAATCCCTTCTCCACTTTTTTTTTTCCCCCCTCTTTTTTTACATAAAGGAAGGATGAGAAGTGCTCCCAAAACAAAGTCAATATACAATTTTAAAAGGTTACTACAGAGAAAAAGTACATTCCTTTCCTTGTGACTATACTACATTTTAAGCAAGACTACGCCAAAATTCAGAGAATGCTTAATGTTTTAACTGCACAAGCATTAAATGCTGTCATATTTATCGCTGAAGAGTCCAATGGCGTACTTCAGTGGCATCAATCTTCACATTATGAGATGGGAAAGCAGTCGTTCAGCTGCACTCAGATTGTTGCTTGCTTGCACCATGGTATAATTGCATTTAACCTGGAATCCAGTGAGAACTCACCCTGACCTTTCACGTTTCCCTGAAAAAGCTTTTCTACACTTTTATATAAACCATCAGACACACGGGATGAACAGCTCTTCAGTTCTTTCATTGACTATAAAAAGCAGGTTTTCTTTAAATCGATAGCTTAATAGTTACGCTAAATATAGCTTTTGCCACGTTTCTTGCTTGTAATTCAATGTAATGCTTCTTGATACCTCAGTCATCATCTTGCTGATTTCTTTTCTGTCAATGGAACAGGAGAGTTCATAATGTTAGGACACAGTTATCTGAAGTAAGAGCACTAATAAATCATGACAAGTGTTTCCAGATACAATGGATATTAGACAATGACTGCATTTCTAAGCCATTTTTTGCATGGTAAGAGATAATGTTTCCAGCAAATGGAACAGAGCAATATCAACCCTCTCCCCCATCCCGAACTATAGGATTTTATTTCCAGTAAAGAACAAGATTTGCCCTGTATATTAACCAACAGAATACACAAGAACCAGAAAACATGGTGGTGGTGGCAGAAGTTGGTGGTCAAGATGAAAGCAACCTGCCCTCCCTTCCCTAGCTTACAAAGATGATGTGTTTTCATGTCAATGTTCAAAGGAACAAAGAAACTGAATTGAAAAAGGAACAAGTGTTTAAGGTTTTTTCCTAATATACTTATCATCTAACTTTTAAAGTAGTTCTTAAAAGCATTAGCTTCAGCCATTCAAAAAAATGTTTAAGGTTTTTTCCTAATATACTTATCTAACTTTTAAAGAAGTTCTTAAAAGCGTTAGCTTCAGCCATTCAAAAAATACATTTCCATTTATACTACATTTGTATTTACATTTAAACAAGAAAACAGCTAGGTTCTTCAGTAAGATTTGTCAAACTACATTCTTTGTAAAGATAAAATTAACTGAAGTGAAATCAGTATGAAAGCTTACTTTTTATCACTTTAAAAAAAAATCAACCCAACAATACATTGTATGATGGCTTCATACCTTACTTTTTCTGTAATTATGTAACATGTTAATTACAAAAGCACAATTCCAGGCACTTTGATGTTGCCATTTCACAAAGATGGAAGGTCAGAAATTTTTTTCACTACTTCTTACCAGTTTAAGAAAGTCAATTAATTTGTGAACATCCTCGCCTGTAGAAAGGTCCACAAAATCTTTCGGTAGTCGGTAACTCAGGTACGGACTAGGCTGGACAGTAACTTTACTGTTCGTACAACGGAAAACTGGATAGTCCTTTGGAAAAGATATTGGATAAGGCAAGAACAGTGTACGTGAATAAAGCTAGCAATGTTTCTTGAACTCCTCCATGAAATCGTCTGAGTCACTTTGCCAATGAGTTTATTTGGCATTCATTCAACTAAACCTGCGCTTTCTAAAAATTGTAGTTTTCTTATTAAAAATTCTGCCCACTTAAGAACAAAAGTTAAAATGTTAATAACAGTCAAACAAAGGCAATCATTCCCTCACTTTAAAGTTTCTACAATGTATCAATTATTCATGCATTTAATATACATATGCTTATAACAGTGCTGTAATAATGGAGCTATAAGGAACTTTGGGCAATAGTATCTACATAAATATGTGGATAAAGAAAATCTTTATGTTAGAATTCCAAACTTGTCTTCACAGGTTCCTTGTTTAAACCCATGTTTGCAAATATTACCTTACTGAAATGATGATCTAAGCTTTCCAACCAATTTACTTACTGAAGGAAAATATACCTCTACAAAATACCCCAAAATATCTCTAAACGCTCAATTGTAGCAACAGGTTTTGGGTAACTTGATATAATTTTCAGTTCAACACAGTGACATGCAACATAATTGCCCACTGTATGGCAATAAGCAGCTTCATTTTAAAGACAGAAGTTCAGTAACTTCACACCAGATTCTGTGATCGGATGTAAGCCCAAGCATGAAGACAAGTCATTCTACTTCTCATCCAGGCTTACACCAGAGAAAATCATGTAAAGCATCTGGCACCAAGAAAAATAAATACTCAGAACAAAAATCCAGGTGTCCCATGGACAGCTCAAGAATTGGGAGTGTGTTTTAACAAAGGAGACACAGCTTTTAGCAGGAAGGTTCACTGAATGGGTTTTCATACAGCAATAGCCACACAGTGAGACTAAGAGAAAATGGCATGAATGATTGCCTGCAGAGTGGTGTATTTCCCTTTCAATGTTTTATGAAAATGGCAACAGAACTAAAGCAAAGCTCAGATGTTAAAATCAGCTCAATAAAGCATGTCATTTCAGTTACCTCTAAGGCAGTTTAACAGGTAGAAAATAAAGAAAAGCCCATGCTATCTGACTAGCCATCTCTCCTCAGACAACTACCAAGTGTTTCCCAAGATCAAATAACGTGCTACTTTATATCTTCTATCCAGCTGTCCAAGTACTCGTTAAGATGTAAGGACTCGGTCTCAAGCACGCAGTGAGAAAAAAGCTGGAGTACAATTAAATGAAGACTATTCCTCCCTCTCTGTATTAACGGGAAGTTATTTGTTTTTATGGAGGCAATGCAGCTTGGAAGAGGGATAGAAAAGCCCTGCTCTGCAAGTCCAGGGAGTTCAACCAGAGGACAACACTTCCCTGAGGGTATTTGATCTGAGGAAGAGACAGAAGTTAAGCTTCTTTCTGCCTCCCCCCAAACATAAATCTGGAGCTCTGGGAAACTGTATGACAGATCTCAGGAACAAAGCAGAACTTTAAGTGATTAAATAGAAAAGTAACAGATTTTAAGAGAAATTGAAAAGAGCGCATCAAAACTGCATAACAGCAAGTTTCACGGCATCTTCTTCGCCGTGTGGTCAAAGCTGCAATATGGGCTTGTACTGTTTGAACTAAAAATTCCCTTGCAGGCATCTAAAACTAGCATACGATACTTGTTGAGATTAACTACTGTCTAATAAGGTAGATTCTACTTACAAAGAGTTAAGGACATCCATTTACTTCAATGGGATTTGCATCACAATTTGATTATAACAAAGAAAGAAAGAGAAAGGAAAAAAGAAAAAAAAAGAGCCATAACGCCTGTTGGATTTGTTAGCCAGCCTCCCTCACCGCAGGGCTGTACCTGTTCTGTTGCTTCCCCTTCACCCTGCTCTCCTTTCAAGTTTTTCCCAGAGATCAGTTCTTCCCACGTAAACAGCAGGGAGTCTGTTACTTCACCAAATGGGTTAAAATCTATTAACCAAATCTTACCCTGCAATGTAACAACAGAAGAATTAAAACAAGCCACAGAATTAAAACAAAAAGAAAAACAAAATTGGAACACATATTACTGTAGTATGCTTGGTCTTTAGACAAAAAGATGTCAAAATTGAAATCACCTGGTTTTAAACACGGAAAATATTCTAACATCCTTTACATTAGACACAGTTTTAAAACACAGCAAGCTATTACTTACTAATTTATTTATTTGTTTTAAACAGAAGATCAGACAGAGCTCAAATAAACTGAATTCAGTTCTATGCAAGGTGCTTTCAGATGAGACCACAGAAGTTCTGTCTAATCCCCCCTGGTCCTCCAAGACACAAAACCCGAACGAGAGAGGAGCGGAGGGGGGGGGGGGGGGGGGGAAACCCACCAAAAAAACCCCCCACAAACAAAAAACCCACCCAAACAGGGATTTTGCTTTCCATCAAAATCCACCTCAGCACTGCTGTACATTCAGCAGTCTACAGGAATTGCTGTTCTTGGTCTCAGAAGGGACTCTAAAAAATACAGGGTCTGCAAAATGCTAGCAGAGATCATGAAAGCTGAAAGGTGCTGCATAGATTTAGAGAAATAAAGAATAACTTAAATATCTTCAATGATTTACACTACAGCCATCTGGTTTCTAACTTACAAAGATGCTTTTGAAGCCTTCAGTCACAGAGTAACATGGAGACTTCCTCTCCCACTCACACTACCTAAGCTACCGCCACAGGCACTAACACACTATAGAATAGGAAACGCATGGAAACCCATACAACAGAGAACAGAAATGCTCTGGCTGGTCTGTTATCATCCATAGCAAGTTACTCATGCAGGTGGGGGGACTGCCAGCACAGATGAAACCAGTGATAGTACCTGTAAACTGGAACTGAGCCAGCACCCCGACCAGTGAGTGTGTGGTTGCACGCAGGCTTTCACAGGTCTCTCTCTCTCAGGGCAGATCCACAGGGTACAGCTCTTGCAGAGCAAATTTTAACAAGCCAATGCACCGCAACAGCAGGACTGAAACCAGACGGCTACAAAAGAAACTGCAAATTGCGGGGACGCAGACCTGAGTGGTTTCTTACTTGTTTCGGAAGGGTGAAGAAGCACAAATCTGCATGGCTAGTTGCAACACTTCTGCACTAATCAATGTACACCATCAATGCAGAGAGCAAACAGGGGCAAGCTCTGCTAGCATTTTCCATCTCTGTTCCTCTTCAAAAGGCAGTCATAAATTCTCATTATAAGTGATGTTTTACTTTTGCTAATGGGGACATCTTGTTAGCTCCAAAAGGCAGCAGCAGGAGGAATCTGTAATTTTAGATTCATTCTATCACACTAGAAAAACAAGCTAATGAACCAGTTTAACCACAGACAGAAGCAATGGCTGGCAAAGTTCATTCAGCAGTTCAGAGAATCTTTCCTCGCATCAGAAATGTGTATACTTAATAAATAAAGGACTTCCCTATGCAAAGCTTTCACAGAGACTCCTCCTCGCCCCAAATATGTGAAACTCAGCTTTTTCATAGAAACTCAAGATCATTTCTCTAGAGAAGAAATGTACCCTGGAAAAAACTGAAAATTGTTTTTGAGACTACTGAAAGCAACACCTGTTTTTTGTGAGCACCCAGCAGTATTTTTCCCGTCCTGCAGACAGCCATACACCATCTACACCACCAACTGTTTCCTTGAGATGGTCTTAAATCTGCACTGAGCTTTGGTAGCTGCAAATTGATGAGAAACGGCAAAACAAACTAAATATCCCTTTTCAGGGCTCATTAAAGGGAGTGTATATAACTCTGGGTCAGTAACCAAACTGTCTTTTCTTAAGATTAAATGCTCTTTCAAGTCTTACATGCAATATCATGATATAAATGTAGTTTCAGATGACTTGCACTGTGTATCTAAAGAGCAGTAGTAAAGCTATTTATCTGCCATCTTCTAGTATTAGTAATCTTTGTCATATGAGAGCACAGAAATGCACAAGCCAGGAAAGCAAAAGTTGTGCATATCTGGAGGGGAAAAAAAAAAAACCCAACCAGTATGACATAAGATTTTTTTCTCATCCTAAAACAGGAACCAATAGATTTACCATATCATGTCAGCTTCATGCTTTGTTTTACTAAAGCATTAAGCAACATGCCGCTGAAAGGAAGTGCCTATGACAAAGACTGTTTAAAGGAAGTTAAAAGATAGATAAAATGCAAACTGAACTGTTATATCTCCCTAATTCCAGCTGCCCCTTCATGCACAGTGACAATGCTCACAAGGCAGAAACACAAGCACTAGTTTGCACGTTAACAAGAGCAGCTGTGAGCTAGCAGCAGTCTGGAGCCACTCACTGCATTTCTTTGTCTTACCACAGTGACTTGTCTTGACCATGGTTACAAGTTGTTAACACCTGGGAGATACACAAAGAGCAACAGCAGAGCTGATTCTCAGGCTTGTCAGCTGTTGCACAACGATTGTGAACTGCTAGCAGCAAAAAAAAAAAAAAAAAAAAAAAAAAAAAAAAAAAGACGTGGATCCAAATGAAAACAGGCTACCAGTCCTGCAACATAACCTCTTCAGGACTAGGTCTCCAGATCATCCAGCTTGGAAGACTGTATGGCAGCGTTTTTTCCTTAAAAGATGACTTGTCTGCAAAGTCAGGCACTAGCTCAGATGAGCTTGGTGAAGAGAGTGTAACAGGAAAGGCAGACACATAAAAGCTTGTTCTCAACCAGGCCAGCACTGCTACTATGCCACCCTCCAACTCGACGAGCAGGACCTGTGGCAGCCTACTCCGTACAGTATCTCGAGTAACTAAAGCAAGCACGGGGAGGGGATTGCTCTCATTCACAAGCATACCAAAGAACAAGCTTCTCCAAGCTGAATATGTAGAGTTGAAAGAATTTAAAATAAGCAGACACTGGACATTTCTCTCATTCTGTAGGTGAGGCTGCCGTGCAACCAGCCTGATGAGAAGCACAGGCTCTGGAAATTAATCACACTCGGCAACATTCAATATTCTTTTGCTGCTGGTAACTCACACACAAAGGGAGCGATGAATAATACAGTCGCAAACCACAAAAGTATGTGTGAAAGGAGGAGGATCTGACACACAAAGGGCTATCTGGCAGTTTACAAGACCTGAGGGTAGAAGGCACCCAGAGATATCTACACAGATATATTTTATCTTGACAGATGAAGAAACACTGCTCATTTGAGATCACACAGGCTGAAACCTTTTACTTAAATAATCTGCCTTCATGCCTCAGCTGTGAGGCAGAGTACCCAACGGCAGAACCTGGTTCAATGCTGAAGTGTTGCTCCTCATTTTGCCTGACAGCATCCTCAAGTCTGACGATCTGAGCCTGGGCAGGTAATTTTCATTACCATTCAGCATGGCTGTTTTTAGCCCATAGCCTGATTTTAGGTACCTACGTTAAAAGTTCTGCTGAGTAACAGCACAATAGTTGTTTTTCACATGACACACATTCCTGTTTAGTTTCTGTTTTGCAAACTATGGCATGATTTACTGTTACACAATTACAAAATACTTTAGCAACATTCAAAGTCAGAATCAGGACTTACTACGAATACTCCCAACTCAACTCAAATAAAGACATTCTCCAATCCCATAACTGTAAACAAGTCAAGCAGTGAGACTCATAAATGTATACAGCAAAAGTATATAGCCATTTTTTTTGCAGTTCTGGTTTAGGTTTCGGAAAAAAATAAGCTAAAACAAAGACTTACTTCTCATGCACTAATGTGATTCCCAAAATCAGGTTGTGATTCCCAAAATCAGGCTTTGAGGTTTAAGGCTACATAATGCATTTTTGGTTGTGGTTGCTTTTAAACCAATACATGCGTGCCTTTCAAGCACAATTCATCTGACCTATTTCTCTCTATTGACACTAGGGGAGGTCAAGGTGACTAATATTGGCACCTGAAGTTCAGATGGGACATTTCTCCCCACTCCGTCACTATCTGGATGTTCAGGGTTCTGATCTGCCAAGCACTCAGAACCACAGCTGGAGTAGTTTGAAAAGAAAAAATTAGCTTCCATCTGTCACAAACTGGGCACGCCACATTCATATACTCTTTTGACAACTATCCCTTCGTACCCTAGACTTTGATATATGAAGTACAAGTTAACATTTTCCAACCTCACACGGATAATCTGAAGAAATATTAATGATTAGTTTTGATGAGTTCAGATGCTATAGGGAAAAACATCGGGAGGGGGGGATAAAAAGCCCAAGGAATTATTTTTTATAAGAATCCCCAAATTTTTTTTTAGTGAGCAAAATATCACCCCTGCCTTATTTTTTGAAATATCACAGCCATTCTGGCTGCATGTTCAGATACGTTTCCGTCAAAAGCACCCAGAGTAAACACTATGCAGAGGGAACCTTAGCAACAGGTAGTGCTTCACTAAAACAATTTAGTAATGTTGCACGATATTAAGTACCTATCTTAAAAGAAAATGCCCCAAGCCTGTCAGTGTTTAAGAGGCATTTGGACAATGCCTTTAATAACATGCTTTAATTTTTGGTCAGCCCTGAATTAGTCAGGCATTTGGACTAGATGATCGCTGTAGGTCCCTTGCAACTGAAATACTCTATTCTATCCTAAATTATTTCAGCAAAGACTCTCCGTGTCATAATGAAAACTAAGTTGCCTTCAGTTGATTCATAGAACTGACAGAATTGCAGCTGAAGCCAAAGTTATGTGCTTTAAGACAGACTACTTCTCTGGAAGATATTTACTAAATAATTACATCACTGGCACAGACATATTTACACCCCTAATCCTATTATTCTCCTACTGTGAACAGCGTCTAACATAGAAAAAAGACCTGGGGAACAGAATGATAACATCAAGTAGTTTGGGTTTTTTGTTTGTTTTTGTTTTGTTTTGGGTTTTGTTTTGGTGTTGTTTTTTTTTTTTTTGCCAGGAGTGCTTCTAGGAAGATGAAGCTATTATTTGCTTCATCTCTGTAGCATTTCAGGAAGAGTTTCCACAGAACAAACATATAACCTATTGTTCACTTACCCTGCTGTCTCTGTACACATCAAAAACAACTGAAAAGGAGAAAAAAAAAATGTTAATCTTAAAAGATATATAATTTCACAGAAGATGTCTAAATCTTAATAGATACTTGTGTACACAGCACAATCTACAAAGTCAGTATGTCTAAAGAACAGCAAGCCAGAATTAGGTTCATTTCCAGGAGGGAGTTGAAACATTTCTAGAACTACTGTTAATGCACTGAGAGATCAACTGCCAGGTTTTCCCATTTAATGCCGGTTTCTTCTGTTGATTTTCGCCCCCAGTGAAGAACATTTGATAAACTCTTAGCACAGAGAGAAGCTTATCTTTGACATTGCTGCTGTTTGGTTTACAGCACAATGGAGAAATTTCAAGGAAGGATCAAGACTCCACCGTGCTAGACACTGCACAAACAATTAATATGAGAAAGTTCCTGCTTGAAGGAGATTAGGACTTCAGCAGATAACAAGACAAACCGGTTGTAGGAACAAAGAAGTTGGTGGGCGTGCTGAGGAGGAGGTGGCAGTGAAATGGCTATGTTTAATGTAACCCAGAGCAGAGACAGCACACCTACTGATTATCAACAACTCTTTCAAACAGACCCTTTGCTACTCGGTGATTGACGCAAAGCTGCCTTGCAGCTCCATTGTTGTCCCTCCCCTTGACTTAATTAAGCATGAATCTTTGTACCTGCATCTTTCTATTCACTTCTGTTCTGTATGGTTAAACAAATCTTTGTCTTTCTATTCAGCTAGGGAAATCGACAGATAAGCATTCAGGCATGACGACAAGCAGCAGTTGTACCAGTTTAGCAGAAAGAAAGAAAAAGAAAAGCCAGATTTAGAAAAACCTCAGAGAAATGCTGTGCTGTCACTTCCTTCACTAATAAGGAAGGGAATATTTCAGCTAAGAGATTTCCCAATACATGTGGGATAAACTAAACTCAGGATATGACTGAAGAACCCTTGAGCCTCGGTGACTACTCAGGAAGCTGCCTGTCAGTAACACGGATGTTGATTGATCATGTCCATGCATGTAAAGCTACTCAGCAGCTTAATCTAACATTTCATGTGAAGTTGGCTGGGCTAAGGGCAAACCACAACTAGGCAGCACCAAAGCCAGTCACGTAACTGTTTTTGACCATATAGGCTAAAAATCCAAACAGCTTTTTGCACAAGCTCAGCTACGTCAATTTAAAAGGTCACTCCGGAATTAAGTGCTATGATTTTCTTGAGAAGACAAGCCCTTGGTGGCTAAGCCATCAATGTGAAGAGGAGCACAGCAACCCTAAGTTTCTTCTCCAGCTGAACTTGTTGCCTGTACCATGTACTCTCATTAGTCATATTTCATTAATGGAAAACTTGCATCTGAGCTTTATTATAAAATGACACCTGTCAGCTTAAAGCAAGCCTGTGGCAATCATTGAGGCTAATGGCATTTAGCAGAATTTACATCCCTGTTAAGACAGATTGCACGTTGGTGACTAGTTCAGAACACTCACAAACACTAAACAGAGAAGAAAACTTGAACTGTTCCCTCTTCTTAGGGACCACCTCAGAGCAGGAGTGTCGTGTGCCAGCAAAACTGTAGTAAAGCTTTATCAGCAATTGCTCAAAATGGAGGGTAAGCCAAGGCCCAACTCTACAGTAAGTATCAATACGTCCAGAACACTGTTCAAACTGGGCTCTTATGAGAGGTATTTAGAAGGTTCTAACATCATTTAGAAGTATTTATAAAGCATTCACCCATCTGTTATCCTACTGCTCTGACTCTGCAATGCTTCAGCTGCTCTGACTCAACTCTTCCATCTGGAGATGCTACCAGACCAAGAGGAAAAAGCAGAGCAAACAGCATCAAAATCCCCAATAAAACAAGAAGTCAGGAAAAAAGCTGTAATACCTTTCCTTTTAAAAGTGAACAAACGAGCAAACCCAGATTTTTATTGTTAACAACACACATGCTACCAGACAGTGGATCAAGGGATAAGCTGGGGGATGAATGAAGGCTGGTAAAAAAAAAAAAAACAACCAAACCCACAACCAGAAAACATTTTCTGCATGGCATTCCTCTGCAGAAGGACAAGTCACCAGCATTTAGTGCCTAAAAACAAAAGGTTAGCAAACCTTCATCTCAGAAGGCCACCTCGAAACCTCCTTTTCCCAGAAGGTAACTCAGATGGCATAGTTTTATGTCCTTTACATAAGATGCCACTTCAGACCTTTCAGTTCACCAGACAGCAGTTTCAGAGCCTAAAACTAGGCATCAATTTCCAAAAATAGTGCCCTGAATTCTTATCTATCAGTTGATTACATACCAGCTAAAATTACTTTGGAACACAGAGGAAAATTAAAAGACAGTAATCAGAATGTCAGATCTATATGACTGATCTTACTTCAAAACATTAGGCCTATAGACCTATTAAATTAGTATACCGATTTCCAGACTACTAGTCTTCTCCAAGGAGGGGTCCTTGAGAACTTCTCTGGACTGAAATAAAGGAACCCTGCAGAGTCAATTTATTAGGAATTTTAATATAAGACAGACTGGCATTAGAAGGATCTTTTTCAGCTGGTCAGACAGGACAGATCTATTTGACTGCTCTGGTGGCTCAGGAAAACAATTAACCATGTTCAAAACTTACCTGAAGGTTGAGTACTCAAAGCTTTATAGAAGACAATACAACTGCCAGACAATTCTTATGTTTACGTATTTTACTGAACTGAGGTTTGGCCCACGCCAGACCCAATTTAAGTTTTTTCATCATATTTTTCACCACTCCTGATCACCCATCACAACAGAACACTATTCAATTCTCACTAAACCATGTCAGGAAATTATTTCCAATACAATTTGCAAAGGACTCCGCATTTAAAGAATAAGACAATTTACTTGGGCTGCTTAGGTGTATCAAATACCGTGGCCTTTATTCAAAAGTTTAGCAGCTAAACTGCCATGCATCAATATTCTAGGAGAAATTATTATAACTTTGTTGTGGTTTAACCCGG